GGAGACCCAGCCTGAGGGTTGGCCGCTGTCCCCGCCACTGTCGCTTTCTGAAGGAGCCAACTAGAAAGTAGATGATTGGATTAATGCTGCTGTTAATAGCTGACAAAACAAGTAAAACCAAAGGAATATCACAAAATAATGATTTTAAATAATTTTCAATCCAGAATAAGAGGAACCAGTAAATGCCGAAGGGAAGGCCAAAGAGCAGGAAGGCCAGTACGGTGAACAGGATGACCATGTAGAGACTGGTCAGCGGTATCCGTCTGGAACTGCAAAGGATCTTGGCCACCAGCATCAGGCTGGACCCGGAGAGAACAACAAATAAAAAAGTCAGCCACCCGAATGTGAGGAAATCAAATACCTTGCACCACTTATAGCTAAAATCTGTGAAAAGGAAGCCACAATAATTGCCTTCAAGGGTGGCCATCAGCAGAGAGAGTACCCAGAGCAGGATGCACATAGCTGCGGACAGGTGCCTCGGGCGGTGGCAGCGGTACCAGATGGGGCACAGGACCGACAGGCAGCGCTCGGTACTAATAGCACTGAGAATGCTCAGACCTGCGATGTAGGTGAAGGTCGACATAGTGTTGAAGAATAATGGGATGAGTTCCTCCTCATAGAATAAGACACTGCTTGTCAGGTAGATGAGTTGCTCCACGGAATATGCAAAGGCGAACCCAAGGAAGAGGAAGTCCGCCCCGGCCAGGTTGAGGATGTAGACTGTGAAGGCATTCCTTCGCAAGCTCAGGAACCAGAGCACAATAGCGTTTGCTGCCAGTCCAAACAGGGCAATGGTGATTTTCAGCAAATTCAGGTTGAAGGTCATATTGAAGCAATATGTAGCATTGGTTGTACCTAGGGATATCTGGTTGATTGCACTCGTTGCTGTCATTTCAGTTTCCCTGGTTGAGGTTGTGTTCATGTTCAGAAGCCCTCCACTGGTTCCCCTGGGAACACAAACAAGATTTAAGCTGTTGATGAAGGATTCCAGATTCTCAGGACCACTCTGTTACGTGAGAATTACTGTCTGAGTGGTACAGGGGAAGCCAACAGAGACTTCCAAAAATTATCAAAGACAGGAAGTCATAGCCCCAGGATTCTCACCAACTCTAAAGCCTGGACTCTCTCTACTACAATACAGGTGTCTCTAATGACTTGGAAATGTTCCGTGGTCTAGACACCTCCAGTCACTGTCTTAGGGCATATTATGCACCATGGACGCAGGAGAAGATTCTGGCAGGCCACCCAAGGAATGACAAGGCACTGGGTAAGGGATCTTTTGTCCTGGGACAGAGGTTTCTGCTTAGGAGCAAGAAATTGGAAACCTCAAGCATGATTGATGGCCAAACTCAGTGACTGAGAAGAGTCAGACTACCAGGGAGAAAGGAGATCATGACTAGGGATGTGTGACCTCGTGTTAGAATCTCAGTGAGGATTGTAAACCTTCCAGGCAGGACATGTCTCAGTATGTCTGCTTTATGAGGACATGGGTTTACAAGGAAGGGCTTCCTCTTGTCCAGTGGTATGTCCCAATGCTTAGTTTTGTGTGTGGCTCACAGCAGGTAGTCAAGAATTTTTAATGAAAAAAAAAAAAAGAATGAACGAAAGAAAGGAGAACCTAATCGTATTTGGAAATAATGAATTGAGTTAAATGTCAAAAAAATAAATAAATAAAAAGGAAATGAAATGAGTCATCAGAAAACACACATTTTTAGAAAAGAATTATTGGGGTATAAATCATTCTTTCATGCTCATTTATGAAAAGTTTTGGGTACAAAGACATGCTCTGAAGATGTCAGGTGGGAAGCAGAGAACAACTCACAAGTAGGTGAACAGTAGCAGCTGACAATGACTCATTGGTATTATGCTTTTAATATTTTACATAGGCTTATCAGGTAAGTACTATTAGTATTCTTATCTTACATATGAGCAAGCAAAGGCACAAAGAGTTGAGTGACTGGCTCTGGTCTCAGTCCAAAAAGTGGCAGAGATGAGATTTGAATTCATGGGCCTGTGTTAGAGTTCTCACACTTCATCAGCCCTCATCTCCACTGCAGAGTGCTGTGTTGACTAAATATAGAGGGGACAGAGGATGAAGCTTTTATGCTCAAGGCTCATAAATGGCAATTCATGTGTGTGTTTCATTAAACCGGGATAGGCAACTGTTGATAAACGACAAGCAGAGAAGTTTCTGAAATATGAAACATAAAAAGGGTGCTGGAGGACAACAAACAACAAACCCTGGAGCACAGGAGCCCCTCATGCCTCTGAATAGGACTCTGTGAGTCCTGACTGTCCAGGACCCAACCAGGACAGGAGGCTCCAACAAGAACCTCTGGGAATGATGACGGAATGCACCATCACGCGCTCTGTCAGTCTTGTAGCCCCGGTGAGCCTAATGAGGATGCAGTGGAAGACCAAAACTTTGGTTATCCTCCTTCAAGGCACTTTGGCCTTTTTGCCATGTGGGGTCCAGCCACCTTAACCTTCATGCCACCTGTGGGCGCCACCTTGGCCTTCTTATTTATGGTACTGAACAAAGTTTGCAACTTTATTTATTTCTTTTTATAAAGCAAAAATCACAGGACTTTTTTTACTAGCACAGAGAACTTTATATTCTTTTGTCTGTTAAACGCTTCTTCTCTTTTTCCTTCCCACCTACTCTCCACCATGCATTCCCCTCTCAGTCTCTGGTATCTACACTCATTCTCTCTGCTATCATATCTTCAGATCTTTCCATTTCTGCCATGGAGTGCAGACATTTGGGGCCCATTGAGTGGGCAACTCTGTAGTTAAGTGTTTTCTTTTTTATCTTTTGTCTTGCTTGTTAAACTCACAGCTCTATAATTTTTAGAACTGCCTGGTTTGTGTTACTGTTGTTCACTGTTTTATCCCCAGCCTCTAACACATGTCCCTTAGGGACTATCTATGTTAATAATGTTAGTTTTGACAAGGAGATAAAAAGATATCTAAAATTGGGGCCGGCAGTGGCATGGTGGTTAAAGGCGCTGGACTCCCACATGGCTGACTACGGTTCAAGTCTCGGACCTGGTGGCTTGCTTTCTCACTTCCTCTCTCTTACTCTGTCTCTCTCTGATCAAACTAGAAAATAATAGTGATAATAATAATAAATAAATAAAATAATTCTTTTAAAAAAAGATATCTAAAATCACATGGTGAGAAGCAGGTCCGTTATCAGTCCTGTCTCTCTGCAAGGCGTTTCCAGTGTTTTGTCTCATCATTCACTATGTGAGGAGCTCCATGTGATGAATCTCCATGTGGGCACAGATTCTGAGAGAGAATCGGAGATGAGAAACTTAATTGTTCCAAATTGCTGTTCTTTTCTTTTCAAAATTTTGAAAGAGTTAAAGCAGGAAAAAAAGAACAACACACTTTTCTGTTTTCCCTTCATGTTGATGGCACCGTGTAACTAGTGCTGGCTAGTGGGAGGTGAGGGGATTGCTGTAATCAACACCTGGTTCATTAACGCAACTGGTGTGGTCTCCTTTCCTCTCCTCTTCTTCCCTACATTGGACTGCTGAAGTGACCTGGAGCTTAGAAAAATCACAAGAATAGAGATGGGGAGGTAGCAGATGGTAGGAAATCCTGGTATCCAACATCTTGAAGTCGCCAGTCCACATTCAATAAATTTTCTCTCTTGTTTAAGTTACTATTATAATAAGTTTATCTTTACAGCATCAAATATCATAAACTTAAAATACTTACAAATACCTATGTTCCCCACCTTAGTTTCTTACTAGATCTCCTGTTCTCAAGTAATTTGATGATAGTGAGAGATTATGTCAAAGAAATGGCAGTACACAGGGAGGTGCATATGGTCCAACAGAGAAGGAGTAAACTGAAAAACAGATCCAATTACACTGAGGTAGAAAAATTCCCAGGAGGGACCGGCAGGTGATGTGGTGGTTAAGGATGCTGGATTCCAACTTGGCTGACCACAGTTCGAGTGCTGGACCTGAAGACTTGTTTTCTCACTTTCTTGCGCTCTCTCTCTCTCTCTGCTCCTCTCTGGTCAAATTAAAACTAATTAATTAATTAAGTTAAATAAAATAATTCTTACCAAAAAGAAAAGAAAAGAAAAGAAAAGAAAAAGTCCCAGGAAAGACATACTGTGGGGAGGCTATAGAAAGAAGTAAATATTTTTCCATTAATGTCAAGATCTTATTTCCAACCCTCTCTATGCTTCTGTGAGTCCACAAACGGACATCGCTATGCCTTAACTACACGACCAGTTTGTTCTTGCTCCTGGTTTAATTCAGTCAACAGAACACACTGAGGAGATCAAAAAGCAGTGTCAGTGTGGAGGGTTCTAATTCCTGGCTCTCTCTGGAAGGCTGTGAGTTGGCAGTGGCAGTGTTGCTTTACCTAAAGACACAGCTCCTGCCTAGTGACCCTGTCCCAAAATCTCAGCTACAGCTACAGCTAGGTAGAGCCTGCTCTGAGTTTTGGTATTTAATTTCTCTCCATTGTTATTTTAAACCTAGCAGTGTAAAAGCTCCCCAGTATTGCTTTCCATGGTGTTTATGTTGAACCTGGTGAGTTAAACAGACTGTCCCCATGTGACTTTCTGTAAACCTGCCCACATTGATCAATGGTCCCTTAATTAAACTCTTCTCAATCATCCCATTTTAGACTATTTACTTCTGGAGCTTTGAGAGAAACACAAAGAAAAAGAAACTTTGTAAAGCAAATAAAAGAAGGGGCTGGGTAATTAACAGCATTTTAGTTGTGAAAAGCATGCATACACCCTATCTTCCTTCTTAAATTATGGAAACCAGTAGATTTCTATTCAAGTTAGCATTTGAATGGTTGGAATGTGGTTGGTAAGAGGATGCAAGAGGAAGGAAGGGTCTTGGTTTATAGCATACTTAGCTCCCAAAGCCCAGTCCTACAGCATCCACAATTGACAAGAGGGAGCTACAAGCCTCCTGTTTTGTCCTGCTGAAGCCACGATCGGATGAAGCTTTTATGCTCAAGGCTTCATAAATGGCAATTTATGTGTGTGTTTTATTAAACCAGGATAAGCAAATGTTGTTAAACAACAAGCAGAGAAATTTCTGAAATATGAAACATAAAAAGTTCAGGTAGAGGACAACAAACAACAAATCCTGGAGCACAGGAGCCCCTCATGCCTCTGAATAGGACTCTGAGTCCAGACTGTCCAGGACCCAACCAGGACAGGAGGCTCCAACAAGAACCTCTGGGAATGATGACGGAATGCACCATCACGCGCTCTGTCAGTCTTGTAGCCCCGGTGAGCCTAATGAGGATGCAGTGGAAGACCAAAACTTTGGTTATCCTCCTTCAAGGCACTTTGGCCTTTTTGCCATGTGGGGTCCAGCCACCTTAACCTTCATGCCACCTGTGGGCGCCACCTTGGCCTTCTTATTTATGGTACTGAACAAAGTTTGCAACTTTATTTATTTCTTTTTATAAAGCAAAAATCACAGGACTTTTTTTACTAGCACAGAGAACTTTATATTCTTTTGTCTGTTAAACGCTTCTTCTCTTTTTCCTTCCCACCTACTCTCCACCATGCATTCCCCTCTCAGTCTCTGGTATCTACACTCATTCTCTCTGCTATCATATCTTCAGATCTTTCCATTTCTGCCATGGAGTGCAGACATTTGGGGCCCATTGAGTGGGCAACTCTGTAGTTAAGTGTTTTCTTTTTTATCTTTTGTCTTGCTTGTTAAACTCACAGCTCTATAATTTTTAGAACTGCCTGGTTTGTGTTACTGTTGTTCACTGTTTTATCCCCAGCCTCTAACACATGTCCCTTAGGGACTATCTATGTTAATAATGTTAGTTTTGACAAGGAGATAAAAAGATATCTAAAATTGGGGCCGGCAGTGGCATGGTGGTTAAAGGCGCTGGACTCCCATATGGCTGACTACGGTTCAAGTCTCGGACCTGGTGGCTTGCTTTCTCACTTCCTCTCTCTTACTCTGTCTCTCTCTGATCAAACTAGAAAATAATAGTGATAATAATAATAAATAAATAAAATAATTCTTTTAAAAAAAGATATCTAAAATCACATGGTGAGAAGCAGGTCCGTTATCAGTCCTGTCTCTCTGCAAGGCGTTTCCAGTGTTTTGTCTCATCATTCACTATGTGAGGAGCTCCATGTGATGAATCTCCATGTGGGCACAGATTCTGAGAGAGAATCGGAGATGAGAAACTTAATTGTTCCAAATTGCTGTTCTTTTCTTTTCAAAATTTTGAAAGAGTTAAAGCAGGAAAAAAAGAACAACACACTTTTCTGTTTTCCCTTCATGTTGATGGCACCGTGTAACTAGTGCTGGCTAGTGGGAGGTGAGGGGATTGCTGTAATCAACACCTGGTTCATTAACGCAACTGGTGTGGTCTCCTTTCCTCTCCTCTTCTTCCCTACATTGGACTGCTGAAGTGACCTGGAGCTTAGAAAAATCACAAGAATAGAGATGGGGAGGTAGCAGATGGTAGGAAATCCTGGTATCCAACATCTTGAAGTCGCCAGTCCACATTCAATAAATTTTCTCTCTTGTTTAAGTTACTATTATAATAAGTTTATCTTTACAGCATCAAATATCATAAACTTAAAATACTTACAAATACCTATGTTCCCCACCTTAGTTTCTTACTAGATCTCCTGTTCTCAAGTAATTTGATGATAGTGAGAGATTATATCAAAGAAATGGCAGTACACAGGGAGGTGCATATGGTCCAACAGAGAAGGAGTAAACTGAAAAACAGATCCAATTACACTGAGGTAGAAAAATTCCCAGGAGGGACCGGCAGGGGATGTGGTGGTTAAGGGTGCTGGATTCCAACTTGGCTGACCACAGTTCGAGTGCTGGACCTGAAGACTTGTTTTCTCACTTTCTTGCGCTCTCTCTCTCTCTCTGCTCCTCTCTGGTCAAATTAAAACTAATTAATTAATTAAGTTAAATAAAATAATTCTTACCAAAAAGAAAAGAAAAGAAAAGAAAAATTTTAGTCCCAGGAAAGACATACTGTGGGGAGGCTATAGAAAGAAGTAAATATTTTTCCATTAATGTCAAGATCTTATTTCCAACCCTCTCTATGCTTCTGTGAGTCCACAAACGGACATCGCTATGCCTTAACTACACGACCAGTTTGTTCTTGCTCCTGGTTTAATTCAGTCAACAGAACACACTGAGGAGATCAAAAAGCAGTGTCAGTGTGGAGGGTTCTAATTCCTGGCTCTCTCTGGAAGGCTGTGAGTTGGCAGTGGCAGTGTTGCTTTACCTAAAGACACAGCTCCTGCCTAGTGACCCTGTCCCAAAATCTCAGCTACAGCTACAGCTAGGTAGAGCCTGCTCTGAGTTTTGGTATTTAATTTCTCTCCATTGTTATTTTAAACCTAGCAGTGTAAAAGCTCCCCAGTATTGCTTTCCATGGTGTTTATGTTGAACCTGGTGAGTTAAACAGACTGTCCCCATGTGACTTTCTGTAAACCTGCCCACATTGATCAATGGTCCCTTAATTAAACTCTTCTCAATCATCCCATTTTAGACTATTTACTTCTGGAGCTTTGAGAGAAACACAAAGAAAAAGAAACTTTGTAAAGCAAATAAAAGAAGGGGCTGGGTAATTAACAGCATTTTAGTTGTGAAAAGCATGCATACACCCTATCTTCCTTCTTAAATTATGGAAACCAGTAGATTTCTATTCAAGTTAGCATTTGAATGGTTGGAATGTGGTTGGTAAGAGGATGCAAGAGGAAGGAAGGGTCTTGGTTTATAGCATACTTAGCTCCCAAAGCCCAGTCCTACAGCATCCACAATTGACAAGAGGGAGCTACAAGCCTCCTGTTTTGTCCTGCTGAAGCCACGATCTTAAGGATGCTGGATTCCAACTTGGCTGACCACAGTTCGAGTGCTGGACCTGAAGACTTGTTTTCTCACTTTCTTGCGCTCTCTCTCTCTCTGCTCCTCTCTGGTCACATTAAAACTAATTAATTAATTAAGTTAAATAAAATAATTCTTACCAAAAAGAAAAGAAAAGAAAAGAAAAAGTCCCAGGAAAGACATACTGTGGGGAGGCTATAGAAAGAAGTAAATATTTTTCCATTAATGTCAAGATCTTATTTCCAACCCTCTCTATGCTTCTGTGAGTCCACAAACGGACATCGCTATGCCTTAACTACACGACCAGTTTGTTCTTGCTCCTGGTTTAATTCAGTCAACAGAACACACTGAGGAGATCAAAAAGCAGTGTCAGTGTGGAGGGTTCTAATTCCTGGCTCTCTCTGGAAGGCTGTGAGTTGGCAGTGGCAGTGTTGCTTTACCTAAAGACACAGCTCCTGCCTAGTGACCCTGTCCCAAAATCTCAGCTACAGCTACAGCTAGGTAGAGCCTGCTCTGAGTTTTGGTATTTAATTTCTCTCCATTGTTATTTTAAACCTAGCAGTGTAAAAGCTCCCCAGTATTGCTTTCCATGGTGTTTATGTTGAACCTGGTGAGTTAAACAGACTGTCCCCATGTGACTTTCTGTAAACCTGCCCACATTGATCAATGGTCCCTTAATTAAACTCTTCTCAATCATCCCATTTTAGACTATTTACTTCTGGAGCTTTGAGAGAAACACAAAGAAAAAGAAACTTTGTAAAGCAAATAAAAGAAGGGGCTGGGTAATTAACAGCATTTTAGTTGTGAAAAGCATGCATACACCCTATCTTCCTTCTTAAATTATGGAAACCAGTAGATTTCTATTCAAGTTAGCATTTGAATGGTTGGAATGTGGTTGGTAAGAGGATGCAAGAGGAAGGAAGGGTCTTGGTTTATAGCATACTTAGCTCCCAAAGCCCAGTCCTACAGCATCCACAATTGACAAGAGGGAGCTACAAGCCTCCT